TGATTTACGAGAAGAAATTGAACAGTTCATGGAAGAAAAGGGCAAACCAGTGTTAGAATTTCATTCCGCAGAATGGATGCCGGACCTTGCATTTATGGTGGATGTTACAGAGCACCTGAATAACTTGAACAAACAGCTGCAAGGGCGCAACAAAGTTGTCACGCAGTATTATGACAGCATACGTTCTTTCAAGTTGAAGCTGTCATTGTGGGAGACGCAACTTGCCGGTGGTGATGCAGCTCACTTCCCCTGTCTGAAAAATGTGTGCGCGACCCAACATGTGGCAGACATGAAGCGGTTCAAAGATAAAATAACTGGACTGTTACGGGAGTTTGAGCAATGCTTTCAGATTTATGTTTATATGTTTTTATGTTGATGTGCTATTGTTTTTAATTGATTTTATTTTATTTGTATATTTAACCTATTCTTGACTCTGTGGTTCTTGCACTTGTTTGGGGAACAGGATTTCATTATTTTTATCTACATTTCTGCCTGAGAAATGACACCCTGATATAGTTCTGTGATCTGTGAAACAGTTCTGTTAATCACTGAGGCATTGTGTGTTCTTTTTCTTTAGAATTTTCAAATAAACTTGACGTGTTTTATGATTAATAGTGATGTTGTGCTTGTACTATTTTGGACACACTGTCCTCAGGCTCCAGCTTTATGTTGTATGTTGATCGTATTAAAACAAAGAAAACAATCTGAAGTTGTTGTTTTTAAGTTATATATACCATGATTTTTCCGGTCCGGCCCACTTGGGAATAGATTTTCCTCCATGTGGCCCCTGAGCTAAAATGAGTTTGACACCCCTGGTCTAGATACTGTGAACCATCAGATCCCCCTCTCCACCCTCTCCGAGTTGGGCATCTCCGGCGCGGCTCACTCTTGGATTGCGTCCTACCTGACAGGTCGCTCCTACCAAGGGGCGTGGCGAGAATCTGTCTCCGCACCACGTGCTCTCACCACTGGTGTCCCCCAGGGCTCAGTTCTAGGCCCTCTCCTATTCTCGCTAATCACCAAGTCACTTGGCTCTGTCATATCCTCACATGGCCTCTCCTATCATTGCTACGCAGACGACACACAACTAATCTTCTCCTTTCCCCCTTCTGATAACCAGGTGGCGAATCGCATCTCTGCATGTCTGGCAGACATATCAGTGTGGATGACGGATCACCACCTCAAGCTGAACCTCGGCAAGACTGAGCTGCTCTTCCTCCCGGGGAAGGACTGCCCGTTCCATGATCTTGCCATCACTGTTGACAACTCCGTTGTGTCCTCCTCCCAGAGTGCAAAGAGCCTTGGCATGACCCTGGACAACACCCTGTCATTCTCCGCTAACATCAAGGCGGTGACCCGATCCTGTAGGTTCATGCTCTACAACATTCGGAGAGTACGACCCTGCCTTACACAGGAAGCAGCACAGGTCCTAATCCAGGCACTTGTCATCTCCCGTCTGGATTACTGCAACTCGCTGTTGGCTGGGCTCCCTGCATGTGCCATTAAGCCCTACAACTCATCCAGAATGCCACAGCCTGTCTGGTGTTCAAACTTCCCAAGTTCTCTCACGTCACCCCGCTCCTCCGCGCACTCCACTGGCTTCCAGTTGAAGCACGCATCTGTTACAAGACCATGGTGCTTGCCTACGGAGCTGTGAGGGGAACGGCACCTCCGTACCTTCAGGCTCTGATCAGTCCCTACACCCAAACGAGGGCATTGCGTTCATCCACCTCTGGCCTGCTGGCCCCACTACCTCTGCGGAAGCACAGTTCCCGCTCAGCCCATTCAAAACTGTTCGCTGCTCTGGCACCCCAATGGTGGAACAAGCTCCCTCACGACGCCAGGACAGCGGAGTCACTCACCACCTTCCGGAGACACTTGAAACCCCACCTCTTTAAGGAATACCTGGGATAGGATAAAGTAATCCTTCTACCCCCCCTTACCCCACCCCATAGAAAGAAAAAATAACATATTCTAAAGTGGTTATCCCACTGGCTATAAGGTGAATGCACCAATTTGTAAGTCGCTCTGGATAAGAGCGTCTGCTAAATGACGTAAATGTAAATGTAAATGAGTCCAGGCTGAAGATGCAGGAGATTACTACTGTCAGAGTTTCCACTACCCCAACAGTGTCTTGGTGTTCACACAGTGATACAGAGCCGTACAAAAACCTCCCTCAGTCAGACTGCACAGTGACTGTACTGCTACAGCTGGGACCTACTGCAGGTGCTGAGGGGGAAGAGACAGTGACATGGAACACTAGATGAGGTCAACTGTGGCATGTGACAATATGGTTAGAAAGCAATCATTCAGTTCACATGACCATCATCATCATCATTAACATCATCATCATGGTTTTAACTTGTTATATTTGTCATGGCCTTTAAGTGTGTATAACATTTATTTGAAGTTTTGAAACACATTACCTGTCAATATGTAAAGCAAGATCTACAGAGGTAAAACGAAAGTTTTTCTGACCTCAACATTACTTCAAAGTTACAATCACTTCAGCCCCCCAAAACAAGTCCCAAAATGGACCTCAACCAAATGTCTGATTTAAATTGTGATCTTCTACCGTTATATTAACTGTTTTCATGAGCAGGTTACTGACTGTTAGATCTGTGAATGAGACATGATGCTGGATTCAAACATGAGACATGTACAGTACATACACTATCTATGTAAAGTATAATATCCATTTTATCTGTCATTAATTACATGGTGGCATATCTGTTATGAGTCCCTCCCTGAATCCACCATAGAGGTTAAAACCAGTCCACTCCCTCACATCTGGCCCAGTCCAGGGTATTTCAGGCAGTGAAACTGTTCAACTACCAGACTGGTATCTGTGGGAGTGAAACTGAGATTTCCATAGACAGGGCTGGGTGGTTCTGCTTGTCCCAGAATAGAGCAGCACTGTCACCAGATGTTCACTCTGTCCCCAGGGGGTTGGAGGTAGAGAAGACTGTCACTACACTATATAGCAGCGTTTCCCAAACTCGGTCCTCGGGACCCCAAGGGGTGCACGTTTTGGTTTTTGCCCTAGCTTTACACAGCTGATTTAAAAAAAATCAACTAATAAACGAGCTTTGATAATTTGAATCAGCTGTATAGTGTTAGGGCAAAAAACTAAACATGCATCCCTTGGGGTCCCGAGAACTGAGTTTGGGAAACAATGCTATATCTTGAAGTAGTGGCACTTGTAATATTTGTATTTTTAAAAAATATATTTAGCTTCGAATCACAGCCTATAACACACGTGAGAGTCCAAGATATCGGTTGACTGTTTGATAGTTCTTCTTTTATTACTGTAAAGTCTGTCAAGTCAAACAGGTCTGACACAGACTCAGTATCCTGATGAATGAAGACAGTCAACTACTACCATGGCAGAACCTATCTATTATATCATAGTATATTGTGATAGTATGAAATACTGGTCAATTATGATGTTAGAGTGAGTTTTAGTCTTGACGGTTTTTAAAGACACCATTAAATCAGCCTTACTGAATACATATTTTTCCAGAATATTGCAAATATACACTATCTAAGATCCAGTTTATTAATAAAAACATTAAAAATATGCATTCCAAAAAGAAATCTTTATTTTAATCCATTATCACACAATCGAAGCATCAAAGCAAACATAATAGTGAATAAAAGCAGATCACATCAAATCTAAAACGAACAAAATCTCAATCTACAGAATGGATTGACACATGAACTCAAGCCAAGCCCCCTGTTAGTCCACACCAGAGTGATCTCTAAATCAGAGAACGACTGATTTTAGAACAAAGCAAGTCAAAGCAGAGGAACCAGCATCCTCTCTCCACAGGGGTGTGTGACTGAGGGGTCCTACCCAGAACAGTCAGCCCTCCTCAGGGTCTTGGTGACTGGAGTCTGGGATTTCTGCTGGGCTTCACAGGTCACCTCTCCTGCCTTGGTCCACTCCTGGGCAGTGAGAGTCAGTGTGCTGCTCCAGCTGTACAGGCCGTCCTTCTCCTGGACCCCGGGACTGGCCTCCTGCTTCTTGCTGGTCCCGTCCACTTTCCAGCTCATGGTCCAGTCTGAGGGGAAGCCCTTGTTGGCCAGACACGTCAGTGTGGCAGTTGTTGTACTGGACAGCTCCTCACTAGAGGGGGGCAGGACGGTGAGGGTGGGGGAACTGTTACCTGGAACAAACAGAACACATCAACTAAGTGACCACATCAAGTACAGTTACAGTAAGAGATTATCTTCAGCAAAGGACATATCAAAATAAAGAAAAATGGAAATGCCTTCTAAATATGAATGTAAAAGTTAGATTGTTTAAAAGTAATATGAGACAAAGCAGATTCATGAACCAAAGTGGTTAAATAACTAGAGTTACTAGTCAGACGGTGTCAGTTATACATGTCATACAGATATTGTTTAGGAATGGACTTGGTCAGAATAGCCTTCCCATATTCATAGTATTTGCAAAATCTGAGCATAGATGAGTTTTAATCGCATATCAACCATGGTAGATCATGAAGTCTGTTACAAACATAACTGAGATCCTTTGTCTTCACACTAACAGTGAAGGCTACCATGAACTCAATGCAACAATAATGACTACTATATCCAATGCTATTAAATAGTAATCATACCAGAATTAAGAGTTATAGTCTGCAATCATACAAATCAGACATAAATAAACCTACAATTAAATTATTTTGATTCAATAAAATTGTATTAGAAAGAAGGGTCAGTCAAAAGCAATTAAAACATTTTGAAAATCTAGAATCAAAATATTTTCATAGAGACAGAGTGTAAGAATAACATACTTAATAAGTGTAATCAGAAATAAATATCAAGTGAGCTTGTTACTTACTTCCAACATCTAGTCTGGTGCCGCTACCAAAAGTGTACCACTGTGATACAATCCCTATTACTGATCGTACAAAAACCTCCTGACCATTGGGCAAGCTACATTTCTTTAGACTGTGGTTGAAATCATTGACTCTAATATGGTATGAATACTTGCCAAAGATAATTTTATCTTGTTCATCTGAAATAAAGTGTTTTTGGTTTAGTTTTCCCCCTAAAACTGCTAAACCTATTTATTGAACATTTCCTACAAGGTGCAGTATGTTTATTCATACACCTAATCTAAAATGTAGGCTAATCACTCTCATCACAGAAAAATGCAGGTCAAATTTGATAAGATGTAATTGCGTTTATTTTCAAATTGGCCATAGTATGTGTAGGCCTAGTATATTTGTCCAGAAATCAACCAAAAAATGTAAGTAAAAAAATCCTCAATATATTCAAGGATAAATTGAAAGAGAAATTGAAACACAAGATCAAAAGGTGAATAAAACAGTTAATTTTGTTGTTTACTTACTTCCAACATCAAGTCTGGTGCCGCTACCAAAAGTCCACCACAGTGTTACAATCCCTATTACTGCTGGTACAAAAACCTCTCTGTGTTGTGATGCTGCAGCTGTTACAGTGAAGATCACTCATACAGAATCACATTCAACACAAATACACTTTAACATCTTCCAGGTAAAACAAGCAGTTCATATAAGCTGTTTCTAGATAATACAAATATGAATTGTATCTTCAATCCAGATATGAGTATTTTTTCCTTCTTCTGTGTATCAGGTGTTCTCCTAGTCTGTATATACATTCCAGCATTAGATCCAGTGTTGCTAGTATTCCTCCATATTGTCCATATGAAAGACAACAGCAGTAGCAGTAGTGATAGTGATCCATGTTGTATATTCCTTTATTAAAGATGTTGATCTCAGATTTAACAGTTGTGGTAAAGTCACAGAGGACAGACAACACTACCAGAGGAATCCTACCAGCTTTAGTTTAGAGAAGTGTTCACTAACTGATTAGAGGAACTTACATAAGAGACCAAGCATGAGTGAACAGACAGTTCATTATATCTGATCATCATCAGAATAAAAAATAAATGGTGGTATCACATAAAAGTTGCATACATTAGTTATTTGAGTAAACATTTTGACGTTATTAAAGGGAAGGCAGGTTGCTAGTTCAGATCCCCAGGCTGACACTAATTTGAAACAGACATTTGCATAATGCATCTGCCTCACTGCTCTAAGAGTGTTTATAGCGCTGGGAGTTTAACACTTCATGACTGAGAGCTGTCATTCATGACAACAGAACCCACAACAACCATGACTTTTATCACCATCTTCATCTGGACACTTGCTTTCTGCTTTCAAGGTTACACTTCTCAGAATTTACTGTTGAAAAAGAATTACATCTACACCATTGAAATGTATATCAATGTTAATATTTATATTCAGAACAATTGATTACTATATGAAATATTTTATTCATAGAATTTTTTTAATTATATTTTTCAGAATCCAGAGGACAGATCACTGTGACTCAGACTCCTGCAGTGAAAGCTGTTCTCCCAGGACAGTCAATCTCTCTGAACTGTAAAACCAGCAGTGATGTGTATCCTAACTGTGGTTCATCTTTGCCCTGTATGGCCTGGTACCAACAGAAACCTGGATCCATTCCCAAACTCCTTGTTTATCAAGGAAGTACTATTAACTCTGGGACTCCATCTAGATTCAGTGGCAGCGGATCTGGGAGTGACTTCACTCTGACCATCAGTGGAGTCCAGGCTGAAGATGCAGGAGATTACTACTGTCAGAGTTTCCACTACCCCAACAGTAAATCTGTGTTCACACAGTGATACAGAGTCGTACAAAAACCTCCCTCAGTCAGACTGCACAGTGACTGTACTGCTACAGCTGGGACCTACTGCAGGTGCTGAGGGGAGGAGACAGTGATATGGATCACTGACTGAACTAAAATACACTGAACTAAATATATCAGTGATGCTGACAATAATGTCAATTTATCCACCTTTATGTTAAAGCATTGCTGAACAACCATAGTTCCAGACTACATACATTTCTTTCCCTTTTGCTATGGCATACATTTCAGATAATAAGTTGAATGGACTCCATCTATGTGAAATAATGTCTCACATTATTTCAAAGTTAATATCCCAGTCTCTGCAAGGTCCGCCAGTCAGGTAGTAAGTTTCAAGCAAAGATTCAACCATATTCACTGAGATTATATAACATGATTATAACCCATTAAAACAACCTGAGGTTCTGTCATACAAGAGACAGTGACACGGAAGACTGGTTAGTGAAGTCAACTTTGAATACGTTTAGAAAGCATCATTCAAATCACATGTTCCCCATCATCATCATTATTGTAGTTCACCTACAAAAGTTATTTGAAGTTCTGAAATACATTTACATTACATTTTAGTCATTTAGCAGACGCTCTTATCCAGAGCGACTTACAGTTAGTGAATACATATTTTTTTATACTGGCCCCCCGTGGGAAACGAACCCACAACCCTGGCGTTGCAAACACCATGCTCTATCAACTGAGCTACATCCCTGCCGGCCATTCCCTCCCCTACCCTGGACGACGCTGGGCCAATTGTGCGCCGCCCATGAGTCTCCCGGTCACGGCCAGCTGCGACAGAGCCTGGATTCAAACCAGGAACTCTAGTGGCACAGTTAGCACTGCGATGCAGTGCCTTAGACCACTGCGTCACTCAGGAGACAATACCCACAATACCAGTCCAATATACAAAATAAAATGTACAGAAGTAAAGAAAACGAAGGTGATGTTACATCAGCATCAGAACCCCAAGATACAATCCCCATATGCACCTCACAACCAAATATTGATGTGATCATCTGGCATTATACTAACTATTTTGATGAGCAAGTTACTGACTGTTACATCTGTGGATAAGACATGATGCTGGGTTCAGGCATTAGACATATCTACATTATGTATAATATCCATTTTATCAGTCATAGATTACATGGTGGAATATCTGTTATTGTACCCTCCCTGAATCCACCATAGAGGTTAAAACCAGTCCACTCCCTCACATCTGGCCCAGTCCAGGATATTTCAGGCAGTGAAACTGTTCAACTGCTAGACTGGTAGCTATAGGAGTGAAACTGAGATTTGCATAGACAGGGCTGGGTGGTTCTGCTCGTCCCAGAATAGAGCAGCACTGTCACCAGATATTCGCTCTGTTCCCAGGGGGATGGAGTTAGCGAAGACCAGGGGAAATATAATGGAGAAGTGTAGACTAAACAATGTTGAAAACCATTGCTAAAACATCTAATATAATAAAATCATATTAGGAATTAAACATTATAAATACAGTGCATTTGGAAAGTATTCAGACCCCTTGAGTTTTTCCACATTTTGTTACGTTACAACCTTATTCTTAAATGTATTAAATTGTTTTTTTGTCCCTCGTCAATCTACACACAATACCCCATAATGACAAAGCAGAAACTGATTTTTATACATTTTTGCAAGTGTATATAAAAAAAAACGGAGTAATACGTTTACATAATGCGTTTACATAAGTTTTCAGACCCTTTACTTTGTTGAAGCACCTTTAGCAGCGATTACAGCTTCGAGTCTTCTTGTGTATGACGCTACAAGCTTGGCACACCTTTATTTGGAGAGTTTCTCCCATTCTTCTCTGCAGATCCTCTCAAGCTCTGTCAGGTTGGATGGGGAGGTCTCTCCAGAGATGTTCGATAGGGTTCAAGTCCGGGTTCTGTCTGGGCCACTCAAGGACATTCAGAGACTTGTCCCGAAGCCACTCCTGCATTGTTTTAGCTGTGTGCTTAGGGTCGTTGTCCTGATGTAAGGTGAACCTTCGCCCCAGTCTGAGGTCCTGAGCGCTCTGAACCAGGTTTTCATCAAGGATCTCTCTGTACTTTGTTCCGTTCATCTTTCCCATGATCCTGACTAGTTTCCCAGTCCCTGCCACTGAAAAACATCCCCACAGCATTATGCTACCACCACCATGCTTCACCTTAGGGATGGTGCCAGGTTTCCTCCAGACGTGACGTTTGGCAATCAGTCCAAAGAGTGCAATCTTGGTTTCATCAGACCAGATAATCTTGTTTCCATGGTCTGAGAGTCCTTTAGGTGCCTTTTGGCAAACTCCAAGCGGGCTGTTGTGCCTTTTACTGAGGAGTTGCTTCCGTCTGGCCACTCTACCATAAAGGCCTGATTGGTGGAGTGCTGCAGAGATGGTAGTCATCCTGTAAGGTTCTCCCAACTCCACAGAGAAGCTCTGGAGCTCTGTCAGAGTGACCATCAGGTTCTTGGTCACCTCCCTGACCAAGGCCCTTCTCCCCCGATTGCTCAGTTTGGCTGGGCAGCCAGCTCTAGGAAGAGTCTTGCTGGTCCAAACTTCTTCCATTTAAGAATGATGGAGGCCACTGTGTTTTTGGGAACCTTCAATGCTGCAGAAATGTTTTAGTACCCTTCCCCAGATCTGTGCCTCGACAACTCCTTCGACCTCATGGTTTTTGCTCTGACATGCACTGTCAACTGTGGGACCTTATATAGACAGGTGTGTGCCTTTCCAAATCATGTCCTACAATTGAATTTACCACAGGTGGACTCCTATGAAGTTGTAGAAACATCTCAAGGATGGTCAATTGAAACAGGATGCACCTGAGCTCAATGTCAAGTCTCATAGCAACGGGTCTGAATACTTATTTAAATAAGGTATTTCTGTGTTTTATTTTTAATACATTTGCAAACATTTCTAAAAACCTGTTTTCGCTTTGTCGTTATGGGGTATTGTGTGTAGATTGATGAGGACATTTTAAAAAATCACTACTCGGTGATCTGAAAAGTCATAGTCAATCGATCAATAATATAATAACACTTTTAGCAAAAATATTTATTTTCAATTTACAATTATGGGGGTATTGTGTATAGATTGATGAGGACATAAAAAAAGAAAATCAATTTTAGAATAAGCAGTAACATAACAAAATGTGGAAAAAGCACTACTGGGTGATCTGAAAAGTCATAGTCAATCGATCAATAATATAAAAATACTTTTGGCAAAAATGTTTATTTTCAAACAATGAGAATAGAAGGGTTCAGAACTTTTGTGAAACATCACAGTACAGTTGAAAAATATATGGCAAATAGAAATCCAATATGGATGGTGTTAAGAGAGAGATGGGAG